TTCTATTCATAACCTTTTCCTTGAAAAGAGGTTACAAAAAGAGATCTTGGTCCATATATCACTCCTCAGTGACTCAAGAGATATATCATTATCTACTCAAGTTTGAAATTTCCTGAAGAATATAAGGGTTGTTATTTAGGGTACCCAAATCATTCTAAAAATCTTGAACTTTTTATAAAGGTTCTATTGCCAATGATAATTATCTTAACTAGAAAAATAATGTTCTTACTTGGTAGTTACATCCTTAGCAAAAATATTTGTATTTGTTTACAGCTTTATAATAAAGATATATTTGAAGAAAAAGACTATTCAAAGAAATTGTACTAAATATTGAGAACTTTATGTGCTGTCTTTGCAACATATGACAAATATTTTCTTTTGAGTTTACTTTTCTCTTGCTCTGGAATTCCCAAGTACAGAGGAGGAAATGTCATTTCGGACTTTTCACAAAAGACTGATCTTTTCTATAGACAGGTACACTGAATTCCAAGAGAGACTAAATTTTTTTCATAAATATTGCCCTCAAAAAAATTTCAACTAAACTGGTAATTTCCATTAAAATTTATATATAAATAGTTATGTGTGTGTGGCATATGAATATATCCTTAAATAGCACGTGAATAATCTCCGAAAGAGCAATCTTTAATGGTTTTATTTTAATAAGAAGTTTTTTAAGTACATGAAATAGGTGAATAAAAAGCATATATCCCTATTCCTAACAATCCCTTTTAATCAGTAATGATTCATATGCATTTTCTTTCTCTCTTTCTCTCTCTCTTTCAGAAAGGGTCTCGCTTTGTTACTGAGGCTAGAGTACAGTGGTGCAATCTTAACTGACTATAACCTTGAACTCCCGGGCTCAAGCAATCCTCCCGCTTCAGTCTCCTGAATATCTGGAACTACAGGTGTACACTAGCATGCCTAGCGAATTGTTTTAATTTTTGTGGAGATGCTGTCTCCCTATGCTGCCCAGGCTGGTTTTGAACTCATGGCTTCAAAAGATTCCCTTGCCTTGGGATTACAGGCATGAGTCACTGTGCCTGGACTTATATGCATTTAAAATCTGGCCTGCACAAGTTGCCAGTGTTCATTCACCTTAATAATTTATTGTTATCAAGAATTTATATGTGTTTTTATGTAGAAACTCTACCCAATGTAATAATAATACAAACCTAAGCCTCCTAAATAGCAGTATTATTTATTTTTGATATTTTCATTAGATTCTCCTGAGTACAGTTGGTTCGTTATAACTGTGCTTATGTTGTTAGTAGAATATTAAATTGTTCAAAAGGAATAAAAATATGCAAAGTATTCGATAATAAAAGCTCGAAATGAGGCCACTGCACATAAACACTAAATAGATTCATTTTTGTAGAAAGACAGCCAAAATCAGAACAAACGAATGAAAACACTGCAAGTATAGGTGTTTGTCTGTAAATATGAAGGTCCAATATTAATTATTCCATCTAGTAATAAATGCAAAACATGCGTGACTATACACCTTGACAAAAGCATCTCCTTGTTTCTTTTACACAATTGAAAGCCAAGTAGAAAGCAGGGTAAAGTAAGCAGGTATGTACTGATATAAGTATACGTGCACGAAAGAGTTAATATAACAGGTCTGAGTAGCTATTGTCAGAAAATCCTGATTGTAACGTTGGTATTTGGCTAGCATCTAGGAACTTAGATTTTGAGAAGGACCCCATGATTCTCTGTTAAGAGTTGTTCACTGTACCTAAACTGTTTGTGACAAACAATATGGTCTATACTGAACACTTGCTTTTCTACTGGGAGTCTAGAATTTTGGTATTTCTTTAGGTATTAACTAACCCCTGATAAAACTCTGGACTCACAAGCTCAAGCTGAGTTTTCCTGGTAGACAGCACTTTTTGCATGATCTCATAACTTGCTGCTAGAAGAATCAAGGGGCTCATGTCTAACTCCAGTGGGAGAGGACTCTGGAAGCTTGCATCTGGTCTCCTCTAGACCTTGCCCCATGCATCTTTTTTCCCTTTGCTGATTTTGCTTCACATCCTTTAGCTGCCACAAATCATAGCCATGATGAGTACAACTATATGCTGGTGATGGCAGGGGTGACCTGCCTAGAGCAGCCACTGCCATGAGGCTGGCTGCAGTGGAGAGCCAGCAGGAGCCCCACCCACTTCTGAGTTGGAGGGGTGGGAGCCCTTTCCTCCTGGCTGTAGCTGCAGCCGCCCAGCCACAGCTGTGGACCCAGGCATTCCTGTGTTCTTGGGGACCTGGGAAGCTCCCTGCCTCCACAGGCTTGAAAGTGCCTGCTCCGACTGCCTGGCCTCTCCCTGCTCCCAGCATCTACTTTGATTTCACAGCACAATTGAGGCCAAGCCCAGGTGCAGTCACATCTCACCTGGCTGTGTGCATGCTTGGGGCAGCACGCCAGCCCTCTGCCACCTTGGCCCCCTCCAGACTTTGGACACCAACGAGCATGGCAGGAAGGCAGAGGGAGTGTTGAGGGCAGCTCAGTGAGGGCCTGCAGATGTCCCTTGACATGAACAGCCTGCATGCTGTGGACAACGGGTTGTTGGTGGCAGGAGGCAGAAAGGCTCCTGGGCAGAAATGGGGGAGTCCATGGTGAGGACCTACATTTAAGCCAGCAACCTGAAGCCCAGGGGCTGGACTGCCAGTTCTGCGGACTGGAGTGAGAACTTATGGTGCTTTTTCCAGGCCTGCCCATGGCCAACCATGGACCAATCAGCACACACTTCCTCCCTTTTGAAGCCCATAAAAACCTCCGACTCAGCCAGACTCGGGCAGATGATAGGACTATCTGCCTGTGGATAGGAGCTACCCACTCTGGGTTTCGTCTCTACTGAGGGCTGCACAAATGATGGGATGACCTGCCAGCAGATACAAGCTAACCACTCTGGGTCTCCTCTCTGCTGAGGGCTACACAGATGTCAGGATGACCAGCTTGCAGATGGGTCCTACCCACTCCAGGTCTCCTCTCTACTGAGGACTGTACATACATCAAGATGACCTGCCTGTGGAAAGAACCTACCCATTCTGGGTCTCCTCTCCACTGAGGGCTGCGCAGATGACAAGATGACCTACCAGCAGATACAAGCTAACCACTCTAGGTCTCCTCTGTGCTGAGGGCTGCACAGATGACAGGATGACCTGCCCACAGATATAAACTAACCACTCTGGTTCTCCTCTATGCTGAGGACTGTACGGATGTTGGGATGACCAGTCTGTGGATGGGACCTACCCACTTCAGATCTCTACATTGAGGGCTGCACAGACATCAGGATGGTCTGTATGTGGAAGGGAGCTACACACTGCAGGTCTCCTCTCCACTAAGAGCTGGACACTTGTGGAGATGACCTGCTTGCAGAAAGGAGCTGCCCACTTCGGGTCTCCTGACAACTGTTCTGCTACTCAGTGAAGTTCCTCTCTGCCTTGCTCACCTTCCAGTTGTCCACATACCTCATTCTTCTTGGATGTGGGACAAGAACTCAGGACCTGCCAAATGGCTGGACTAAAAAAGTTATAACACAAACAGGGCTGAAACACGTCCCCACCACTCACCACGTTCTGGGCAACAGGAAGAAGAGAAGAGCTGTGGCCCTTTGGGGAGCCCACACCTAGGAGCTCTCCGAGCCAGGGTTGTGACACTTTCTTTGGGATTCTGCAGTTTCTGGCATCTCTTGAGCTTCCAGGTGTCACGACATTCCCTTCATCTAGATGCGGGTGCCTGCAGCATAAGCCATGTGCAGTACATCTGATCCAGCTGCAGCCTCACATGGAGCTAGCACCTGTGCTGACACCTGGAGCTGCCTGCCCTGCCACAGCAGCCAGTGTGCCTGGCTGTGCAGTGGCCGGACCCGAAGCTTGTCACTCACATACCACTCGCCGCTCTGTGCCTGGCTTGTGTTTGTCAGTTGTGGGGTCTGAGCCGGTAGTATGAGCCAAGTGCAGTCTGCTAGGCCAAGTGGGCAGAACGAGCCCAGCGGGCAAGAGCAACACTCAGGCAGAAGGCACCACTGGTCACAGGAGTTTCTGGCTGGCGAAGTGATACCCTAAGGATCCTGTGACACTGGGTTCTATCGATCCTCCTAATAAATCATCAAACTTGAGGGATAGTCCTGGAGGGTCTCCACATAGTATACAAAATATTTAATATTGTGGACTTACAAAGAAAATTACCTATACCATAACACTGGAAACTCAGGGAACGTTTTTCTTTGGGCTATTGGAGGTTAGGATTTAACGATCGGTAGAATCATTATCCTATTAATCATTATCAAAAAAAATCAATATAATGAATAAAATGTAGAATCAGGCATTCCTATGCATGGAAAGAATTCTTATGGCCCATGAGGCTAGCAGATTGGTGGATGACAGAAAGATCTCAGGATATGGAAAATGAATACAGCAAAGTACTTCATGGGAAAAATCAACAACCTTCAGTAAACACATTATAACAACTTCTATTTAAACGTCTTATTTACCAAAAATTTTCAACTTATTCTCCAGTGGAAATTTTAAAGCACTTACAAGCTGTCATTTATATAACAAAAAATGAGAAATTAGTATATATATTACAGAAATTAATCTATAAATAATACTAAAGATAGCAGCTACTCCATAAACAAACAGGATTACATTTATTTTCGTTTATTTATTTATTTTTGAGATGGAGTTTCACTCTGTCACCCAGGCTGGAGTGCAGGGGTGCGATCTCAGCTTATTGCAACCTCTGCCTCCTGGGTTGAAGCAATTCTCCTGCCTCAGCCTCCTGAGTAGCTGGGACTACAGGTGTACGCTACCACGCCTGGCTAATTTTTGTATTTTTATTAGAGACAGAGTTTCACTGCATTGGCCAGGCTGGTCTTGAACTCCTCACCTCGTGTTCCACCCGCCTTGGCCTCCCAAAGTGCTGGGATTACAGGTGTGAGCCACCGCGCCCAGCCTCACGATTACATTTGTATTGCAAGGAACATTTATAGTTGTCAAGAAATACACTTATCTATTGCCATTTCATATGTAGCCACTCTGTAAGGTAGTAACACAAATGATGCTGACTCATATATTCCTGTTTTGTACAAGAAAGATATAAAAATGTGTTCATTTAAACATACCTTAACTATTTCTTCAATGAAACAAATATGAGAAACAGGATCTCTCTTCTTGGCCAATACTTTTTGTAAATGTTGTACCTTAAATGAAACAAATGTAAAGCTTAGGCAATAGAAAAAGCAAGAAAAGGGAAATGGCGACCTTTAGGTACATTATAATCAGCTAGTGGAGGTATTTTGAATGCTCATCAATTTAAAAAACCTGCCCAAGGTCATGGAACTTGGAATAACCAGGAGTTAATCCATATTAACGTTCTTTCCACTCCTTCAAATATTTACCTGTCTACAAACAGCATAAATATGATCCATAAGTTTCTCCATATTGGTCCAGAGTGAAGCACGCAAAGCTGCAGTATTTCCTGGGGTTGGCATGGTAGATCGTCCAGGTCCCCCTGGTTACAAGTGAGAAAGTACTATGAAAAATAAAGTTTTCCAAAAGCAAATATATATACACACACACACACACACACACACACACATGTTATTATGAAAACCATACATAAGCTAAAAAATGAGAAGTTCCTTCTTTAGAAGGAACTAAAATTATTTCCTGTCTCATAGGAAATAATTTCTTATGAGTAAGAATCTTAACCTTTTATGCTTAAGAAAGGGAAGCGACACATATCCAGGAAGGATAAAATGGAAATTGATGAAAATGGTTTCCTACAAGAGGTGTGAGAATGGTGGGAAATGAAATAGGTGAAAGGTACAAGGATGGAGGTGAGTCTTCCTCTGTTTCCTACCGCTCTCATGCCCCTTGCAGAAAACCATCTTCACTAATTTCCCATTTATCCTGTGTATGCACATGTGTGTGTATGTGTGTGTTGTGTCCCCTTTCTTAAAAATAAAAAACTCTAAAACAATAAAAACAAATACAAGAACAAATAAAGTATGTGTGTGTTGTGCCCCCTCTTTCATTAAAAAAAAAAAAAAAGAATATAAACAAATACCAAAACAAATACAACTAACTATATATCAAATTGAAAACATAACCACGCAGGAGGAAAACAATTTTAATTCATGGAATTTTTACTTATAGAACACTGACTTTAGTAAGATACATTTACGCACAAAAAATTACAACGAAATATTGAACTTTATTAAATAGATTTTTGCTGGATGTGGTATTGAAGTAGTAATCCTGAAACTAGTTTAGGTATATTTTGGAACAGAGCAAAATAAGGTTCTCAGTGTAAACAGAATAAAGACACAAATATGTAATGGGGATTAGACGTATTTCCCAACTCAATCCACTGGAAAGTCAGAGAGACGATGGTTCCTCAAGAGTAATAAGTATACCTAGTATCCAAATTTTGATTTCTAAGACCATTCTCCAATAAAAACAAAGCAGGATTCAGTGGAAAAAAGAGTGATTTCATATTTGGAGCAGTGAAAATACAAGGTGAATGTGACAGATATTGTGCCAGTGAGCAATAAAGTGTTTGAAGACAAATGAAATTTTTCAAAAGGATACATCAACTTGACTGGAAGGGGCTTCCACATCACAAATTTCAGATAATTTGGCCATCCAAAATAATACTGATGGTAATATATTATAAAACAATGATTAAAAAATAATTCATGAGTATATAGTGAAACTCAAATGTTTATAAAGGATGGAAATGCTCTTTATAAAAGAGTATGAGCTAATAAACGCAGAAAGAATGACAGAATCAGAAAAAAAAATCACCATTTTGCAACTACTAGTTGCAAAATTAATTAAGAGAAAGAGTATCAGTGGATACCAAAACACTAAGTGAAATGTTATTGGCCGGGCACGGTGACTCATGCCTGTAATCCCAGCACTTTGGGAGGCTGAGGTGGGCAGATCACTTGAAGTCAGGATTCGAAACCAGCCTGACCAACATGGAGAAACCCATCTCTACTAAAAATACAGAATTAGCCAGGCATGGTATCACATGCCTGTAATTCTAGCTACTCAGGAGGCTGAGGCAGGGAACTGCTTGAACCCAGGAAGCAGAGGTTGCAGTGAGCCGAGATCATATAATTGCACTCCAGCCTGGGCAACATGAGCAAAACCCCATCTCAAAAAAAAAATGTTATCGAGAACAAGATATTCATCACATAGTCTCAAAGTATGCACCTATAAATTACTAATTACAAAGGAAAGAGCATAGTATTACAAAGACCAATCTGGCATATGCCAATTTAATGAAGTGATCTAATTCAGCATCAGCAGCAATAAAACAAACTGAAATAATTTTGTTGTTTCCTGATATGATGTAATAGGAAGTACACAACATCATCTTACCAATGGTATGTTTACCTTGAAGCTAATCATGAAGAAAATACCACATGAATCCAGACAAATTCAGATTATGAGGCTCTCCAAAAAATGTTAATACCATTAAAAAAAAAAAAAAAAAAGAAAAAGGCAGTGGTGCTGCTTTTTATTAAAGAGACAAGATAGCCAACAGAAAAGCATGATCCCTGATTGGTTTCACTGGTTTCAGTCAGGTGAAACCAACTTACACAAACAACATTTTGGGGAACAATAAAATTTTGAGTATGAACTGTACCTTAAATAATATTAATGTATTAATACTAACTTTTTAGAGAGTGAGACTATCTAAGAATGTTCTTGTATATAACACATACAGGAATCCATATGTAAAGGTTTGAAATGCTTCAACAAAAAAATAGAAATTTTAATCCCAAATTGAAAGGCATACATTTCACTCCAAACTAACGTTAAATACCAGGCAGTAGAAGAGTTCATCATTGGTTAGTCAGTCTATATCCCTGCTTTTATGGAGGACAAGATCAAGAAAACCAGAGGCACTGTGTGGGTAAACTACCTAACTCTAGTTTTTCAACAATTCAGAAAAGAATTGCACGTACCTTTAGCAAACAAACGCAGTTATTTCTTTAGTGTGATAATAGTAGCAAGCAATAAAATAATCTATGAGAAAGATATTGGCTTAAAAATATAGATAATACCTGTTTGAAATCTGCATCTAATGAAGCTTTAGAATATTTGCAGTGCTATGCAAAGACTATTAAGGGAAGGTATACAGGAAATGGATAATACTATAACAATCTGCAGCTGTTCTCACATGTTATATAAAGAATGAACTCATAACAGTCAGAAAAGGGTATGTAGTGTCTTTATGAATACTAAAAAATAGAGGTCAAATTCCTGGAATATGACTTGGTTTTACGAAACCCTTCAATCTATTATTCTTTTAAATACAAGCAGAAATACAAGATATTGTCATTACCAGTTAGCTTTAATAGACTCAAGAAACAAAATAGTCCCTTAAGTTTTATTTAAGTGATAAAAGAAACTAAGAGATCCTCATAGATACAATACTTGAAAAATGATTTCTAGTTAGTGATGGTGGAATAAAATCATTTTCTTATTCTCTTCCCTTGAATGCCAATGAAAAGAAAATCAAACAAAAGATTGAAAATGTCAACCCCAAAGAAACAAAACTTCAAACTGGAGATTATGAAGCATGCATGCCAGTTGCTGTAGATAAGTCAAAATGAAGAAGGAACCAGAAAGATGACACCATAGATCATTAGGAAGAAGTAAATTGCTCTTAAAATCAATTGTAAGAATTTGCACAAGCTATCTAAGGATTATTTTGATTACAGCTGAGATCTACAGATATGGACAGGCCAGGGAATGTTCAACATTGCAAAATGGAAAGAAAAAAAAAAAAAAAAAAAAAGCTGAAGGAAAATCACAAGGAATTGATATTTATGTTGTTTAAGAATTAGCCCCTGAGTGTGGGGAGACTACTGGAGGTAAAGTGAGATGAAGAAAAAAAATACTGCGAATGCTAGGATTCAACACAGAAATGGCTTAAACAGCTTTACTGGAAGCCATACTAAGCTTCTTCTGAATGGTACAAATTTTGAGAACAGATGTGCTCCCAAGGTAAAAAGAAGTAACAAACTGCTCAATGGTTATTGTAGACAACAAACCTAAATTAAATTGCAGAGTGCTTCAGGTATCTCTCTTCAGCCATGCCTATACCATTCTTCAATGAATAGCTACCAGTTTTCAATGATGAATAATCATCAGAAACAAAGCAAGAATGAACTTAACATAGACACTGGGGAGGGTGGCAGGAAGGAGGAAGAAAGGAATATAAGCTAAAAGCAGTGATAAACATAGATCACCAAAGAAACAACAGAAAGGGGTACTCAGTTTTCCACTGCCTCAAAATAATTACTGGAATACTCACTGGAAAAATATTATAGAAATTAGGACCATATTAGAAAAAACAAAAAGTTATAATAAATGAGAGTGAAAACACAGTAACACGTGTGAAATAGGCAAGAGGAAATAATACAAAATGAAGTAAAATGCAAAGATACTGGAAGCAAAGTGAAAAAACTCCAAGCAAATATTAAGAGAATCAGACTTCCACATCCATGACACTCTCTCCCCCACATTATGCCCAGCACCAAGTGCAAGAAGATACTAGACATGGAAAACAAAGAATATCTGATATATACATAAAGTTCCTGAAAAGAACAAATGGAACAGAAAAACATTCAATATACAGTGGAAGAAAACTTTTCTATAAAAGGGGACATACTCTAACTCACACACACACACACACACAAACACACACACACACACACACACACACACAGAGAAAAACTGACACAGAGCATTCAACTCTGAGACACATGCTAAAGAAGTCACTCAACTTCAAAGATAAAGGAAAATCCATTTGGACAGTCCAGAAAAAGCAAGTCAACTAGTGGGGTATAAAAATCTGATTAGTCTCATAATTCTCTAATATAACACTAAAACCCAGCAGTTGGTAAAGCAATGTCTGATGGTAGATGGGACCCTCCATTTTCCTTTCATATGAAGGGACTTCAGCTAAAGCAACTTTCTTACCTTCTTTCCCTACCTCTTATCCAACTCTCTCCATGTGAAGAGGAGTGAGTGAAGAGTGAATCTGAATAAGAAACTGAGCATCATTGGCTCAGTCCCTTCTTTCCTCTGTTGTGGAAGCTTTGTATATATAAAAGGTGCATTCTGACCAACATTCTACCAGTGGTAAGTATAGTGGGAAAGGCTAAATTGGGAAATAAGTTTAATTTTGAGGTGATATATTTAAAAATCCATTTGGTTATAAATCAAAGCTATGCTTTTCGGTGCATTTTTTTCAACAGTAATAAAACTAACATTACAATTGTCATCTTTTTGTCTCCTACATTTGTGTCTCATTTTCCAGTTCAGTGGGGGAAGAAAAACGTTATTTACTGGGACACAAACAGCTACAAAATTCCCAGGGAAAGTGTAAATAAAAATTTATACCTGGCCAAATCATTTAAGCATAAAAGCAAAACACACCACCAACTATGCAAGGACTCAAGAGAGCACAGTACCTGTGAAACATTT